CGACCAACAGCTGTCATTTCGGATGACCTCAAGCACTTTCACGAGGACCCGACCCACATGCTCGTCGGCATGCTGGTGGGTTAACTGCCTTGGTAATCGTTAGTCCACCAGGCAGTTTTGTGATAGCAGGGTCGTTGTTTTCGACCCGCTGCCAGCAAAAGACTTCTCTTTCAGGTCAGAGTCCACGTTTTTGCCGTTGTCAAGCTTCTGTCGGCCTCATAAAGGGTCACAAACGAACATGGAACGTTTCACTCTCTTTAGCGAGACTTATTACGGCCTCATTGTGGCAAATTAATACAACGATTGGGCCGTAGAGCTCGAGTTCAAAAACGTTTGAAGCAAAACCCCACTTTTTGCCTGTTGACAATCCTCTGAAGTAGAACAAACAGACACTGTTGAACCAACCAAAGCAGTCATCCAAACTACACTTGTAACATTTATTAATTTTACGGGGATGCTGTTTGCGAATATCGCGGTTTGTGACCAACTTACAGTGATAATAACTGACTTGGAATTTAAACAACACGGCCACAATCAACTTCGGGATGCGGGCAATATTGCGTTTATATAATTTTTATCACCCGGAAGAATACGTCACAGGCCTAAAGGGATTCAGAGGATTTTGTTTGGCCTCTACACACTGAACTAATTTTTTTTCAGAACGCACGGTAGTAGAACGACAGGGCACTAAGAAATGACTACAAGAAAAAACTGAAGTGCTCGCAGAGGCTATGACAACAGAGGATGCACGTATAAATAAGGAGTTCCTTGGAAAGTGTGTTCAGTGTTTACAAGTCTTTGAATGCTGCGGGACCCCTTCAGTGAGAAGTGTTATGAGTTGAATGACACATTAAATCCGAGGAAAATAGTTAAGGCACAACAACTAAAGATACGGAATTCTGTTTATAAACAATGCTCTTGATCAAATACTGACAGAAAAACAAAGACTACTGTCTGACTGAACTTGCACTGACAAAGAAGTACGTATCCTGAAACGCCGCAATCGTTAATATTAACGAAGCCCAAACGCGCACTGACAGTAATTGGTCATGCTGGATCGAGGCAACCTAACACGAGCGATTTTTCCAGTCTGGGTCTAACGTTCGGCTGAGATATATCTTAGGGCGACGGTGATGGACGAAAGATTAGGCGACACGAAGTCGGATTAGGCATGCCATAAAAAGGTGTTCGTTAAAAATCTCATCAGAAATTATCATATTTTAGGAGCCGCTATCAGCCACTCCTATCGAGTTGTTTGTTCAAAATGCGTGTTAATCGAGTACCCCTCCCTGCCGTACTTGGTACACGATAGTTTTAACTCTACGAGGGATATCCAGCTATCTCCATGACGCGACTTAGTTGGGCGACAGAGGAACGTTTAGGGCTTGCCCTCTTTTTTCATACGTTTTTTCTGTTCCACCGAGACTCACAAAGGTGAGTCAAGTTGGTGCTGGCTACCACCAGTGGAGCGAAGAAATTGGTCAGAGGATTTTACGGGTTCCCTCCTTTATCAACAGGATGGCAACTATCCCCAGCGATTCAACACTAACTTACCGGAAAACTGACTGTGGTGTTTTGACCTTACGGTAGATTTGTTATCTCACAGAATGTAAACCAAAATTTTGAAATGTGTATCCCATTGGAAACGGTATTACCGTGCAATCCACTTGAAGGATATATCATTCGCGTAAAGATGCCAGTTTATGAACTAACTTCCTTGCCCAGTTAACTTCGATGCCCTCTTAAATTCAGAGAGCACATGCAAGATAAACTCTTTCCTGTAATTATTTTGTGGCAAATCGAGGATTTCTTAAAGTATATACATTAAGAAATGGTAGCTTTTGGGTTTTAAAAAGAATTAACAATAATATGATTTCAAGACCGTGAAGTTTCTATTTACAATACCTCGTATCAGTATATTTTTATGAACTATAAAGCATTCAATATGGTCCACACGCATTGGCAATTTTTATGTGCACTTTGTGATGTCTTCCTCATAGCGTTCAGAAATAGGTGATTTTCCTTAGACAGAAGGTATAAAGCATGTGTTTTGAAAACCCTGAAATAAAGTTTAATGACATATCGGACTCCGAATAATTCGACTGCGGACAGTTTTTTTAAACCGAAACATACCCCCGGTCTTCAAATACAAATATGAAAGGATAAGTAATTTTCTACCAAACGAGTGTAGGAAAAAATGCTTTCATGCATGTTTTCTACGAAATATGTCTAAGTTTACAAAGACATCAAAAAATGCATGCTACTTAAGTAGCCATCTTTTCAGAATGTGGCTTTTGCAGGCGGTTAAAAAGAAGCTCGTCTAGAAACTGGTATTCTGGAGTGACTGAAATACACTGGTATAATGCCGAATGATAAGTAATACTTGACACGCTGCTTAGGTAAACGTTTCGAATCAAAAACACACTTAAGCATTTCGGTTAAAATTTAATGAAGCTATATCAAACATACTGTGAACAGTCTTTTTCATCTTCCAAATATTCACCAAAGATGAAAGGTAAAAGTACAGCGAAATTACTCACTGGTGTGTGAGCGGCAAGTCGTATCGCTCTTCCCGAGTGAACTTGAGAGTGGGGCGTAGGACGTGCACAGAGCTGTGGCCGACAGAGTCAGTCTCCACATCTTGCGCCCGTTGACTCATCAACTGGTATGTATGAGGCATACTGCTGCAGTAACTTCTACAGCGGCGTCAACGAGGGAAAATCACCTACGCAAACGGAACACGCTGGGTGTTAGAGGGAGCCAAATCGGGAAAGGCAATGATCCAACAAACAAGAAGCAATGATGAAGAATAGAAAGATGTATCTATTTTTTTTTTAAAAAATAATAAGAGTTAGAAATCAGACAATCTCTGCGCCGACGGCAAAAAGGCCGCTGAGGTGGCTAAATGCAGGAAGATGCTGGGAAGATGACAGAGAAGAAAGCATAGCCACATTACGCTGAAAGGTGGAATATCTGTCAGAGAAAGTGGTACGCAGGGTGTCCAGTGTGCCCTTCAGGCGGGCTTGTCCGCTGGAAGTAGGGCTGAGGAGCGCGAGGGACAGATCAATGGTGAGGTGGACAAGCTGGGTGGGTAGATCTGCGCCCACTGGTCTGTCCTGCACTAACACTTCCAGTCGCGGAGCGATAGTGGCGCTTACATCCTGGCAATCATCAGGAAGCAATTCCTCCGGCGCAATAACCCCGACCGTAGAGGGCAGAACGAAACGCGCACAGACGAGAATCCATTGAGCAATCTCACGCGCTTTGGTGGCGGTCGGCGGTAGCTGATGTTCAGTGTTGCTACTGTCTAGGGTATCTCGCCAGCCTGACAGGAACACCCGCTGTTCTTCCAGTTTCTCAAAGTCGGCAGCATACTTGACGCAGGCGAGAGCCAGCTTGAAGGCCAGCAGCTCCAGACTGGCAACGGTGGCTGGGAGTGTTAGGGTGCTGCTGCCCTCAAGCACCGAGAAGGCAGTCCAGTAGACGGCAATATGATCAATCGGAGGCGCCGAGTGAGGGACTGAATTGAGAATCAGATCGATGGCCTTGTCCGTCTGGCCGCTGGCGAGGTGGCAAAGAGCAGAGTGTGGGAGACCCGTGTGAGTCAGCCGTTCAGCCAGTGCGGTGAGACAGGCTTTGTGCAGATCTGGATTCAGGTCGGGCGATAGTCGGAGGCGAAAAAGCACCAAGGCCTCCTTGACGCGACCGCAGCCGAGCAGAAGGCGCACTGCGTCAACGGTGCGGTTGGCACAGACCAATAGCGTGGCCGCTTTGCTGTGCTCGTTAGTCACATCGCGGAGTTGAAGGACCTGAAATGGGATCAATGTGGTAAAACATGTTTGAAGAAAGTAGAGCAGAAATATAAGCTCAAAGTCGCCGTGAGCGGTATTCGGGTAGAGAAGTAGCAAGCGGCTCCAATATAAATGGTCACTTTGGTGCTGAATTATCAAGCAATAAAAAATGGAGTTGGAATTGCATAACAAAAGTGATTAAGTTGAAAATATTCCTTTTAACGCCCTGGTCTCCGTTATGACTCCCTGGAAGCCCAACTTTGTACCGCCGCTTCCCTCTTCTTGGGCAGTCGACTTTCTAGCATAAGCACAAATTCAAGCTCCGCCAGGAGGCGTCGCTACCTACAACTAAGTCCGCAAATGAATAGCCTGATGAATATTAGACCGCCGGAACCTGGCGTCTATCAAGCAGTCTAAACCATCGTAGCCTGCTAATGGAAGAGGTACACGCAAAGTACGATGACCCCCATTCTTTGCGAGAAGTCCTGGTACAGCGGCCGAGAGTATAAGATTCTAAGAGCCTTCAAATCTGCTGATGGGCAGTAGTGTCTTAAGCCTGGCAATATGCCTCTCAAAAGGTAAAGAAGAGAAGGATTCCAAGACTCCATGACGTTTAGCATCATCAGTAAGATACATGCTGCTGTGAGCAGTGTAAACTATAGGTTCGCTTCTATAGAGATCAGCGAATTTACATGAAAGGAGACTTGGTAATTGC